AATCCCAGCACTTGGGAGGCAGAGACAGGCAGATCTCTGTGAGTACAAGGCCACCCTGGAATACATAGTGTGCTGGATAGCTTTAGTGTCAACTTGACACACCTGGGTTGAGGAAGCCTCAATTGGGGAATTGCCTCCATTGGACTGGCCTGTGGCCATGTCTGTGGGGCATTTTCTTGATTGTTGAGTGATGTGGGAGGGCCCAGCCCATTGTGGGTAGTGCCACCCCTGGGCAGGTGGGCCTGTGTTGGATACGAGAGCAAGCTGAGCAGAGGCCAGGGGAGCAAGCCAGTAAGCAGCATTCCTCCATGGACTGTGCTCCAGCTCCTGCATCCAGGTTCTTTCCCTGAGTTCCTACCTTGGGCTCCCTGATGAACTGTGACCCAGGAAATGTAAGATAAATAACCCCTTTCGTCCCCAAGTTAGTAGTGGTCAGAGTGTTTTGTCACAGCAATGAAGAACAAACTAGAACACATAGTGAGTGCCAGGTCAGCTTGGGCTACAGGGAGACCCTGTCTCAAAAAAGACCAAAAAATAAAAATAAAAAACCCACCAAACAAACAACAAAAAACCCAATATGGTTTTATAATAGCAGAAAGCAGTATCTACAGTAAAAATGAAATTCATAATATACAATAGTCTTGAATCCAAATCTAGATGTTTCAGGCAGTATTCATTGGTATTCTGTGGTATGATAGCATGCACAGTGCAAAGTCTACATACTGTACAAAGCTTAACGTCATAAGTTGCAACATGGGTGGGCACTACCAGAAACACCTTGGTATCATGAGTTTAATTTTGAATGAAGTTTTGGTAGTTGCATGTTCAGAAATCTTTTAGTGTAGCTAAGTTTTTCATAACTCCCACATTCCGTTATACAACATCCATATAAGGTCATGACCCATAGTTTAAGAAACTCTGGTGTACAGCTCTTAAATTTTGCAGTCAATGGTTGTTTTCCAAAGTTACTTAGGTGAGGATCAATTTCTGAATTCACTTTTAAATCACCCAACTCTTCATACTGGACTTGAACTCCTGAACTCACTGATCCTATCTCACCCTCCAATAAGTTGGAACTACAGAGATTTTACAGTGCCCAGCTATACTTTTTTTTTTAGATGAAAAGAGTAACATTCACTATTTTTAATACACAACTCTGAATATTGACAAGTATACACCCATGTGTCCACATCTAATATCATTTTCTTAAGGAATTTATAAAAATCTCAAGTTTTCTTCTACAAGGATATCATGCTTCCTGGGGTTTTTTTTCTAATTTTATTTTATTTTTAATTTTTGAGGCAGGTCTCCCTATAGCCCCAGCTGTCCTGGAACTCACTGTGTAGACCAGACTGGCCTTGAACTCACAAAGATTCGCCTGTCTCTGCCTCCCAAGTGCTGGGATTAAAGGTGTGTGCCAACATGCACGGCTTTTTTTCTAACTAAAAAAAATATATTATTTTTATTTTATGTGTATGAGTGTATTGCCTGCATGTATGTGAGTGCGCCCATTTCATCCAATGCCACGGAGGTCAGAAGAGGGCTTCAAATTTCCCTGGAACTGGAGTTAAGGACAGTTTGTAACCTCCATGTGGGTGCTGGGAATCAAACCCAGGTCCTTTGCAAGAGCAGTCAGTGCTCTTAACTGCTGAGCCATCTCTCCAGCCCCGTTTTTAAAAAATTATATTCTTTGAAAATTTCATACATTTATACAATATATTTTGATCATAGTGGGGTGTGGTGGTGCACCCCTTAAGTCCCACCACTCGGGAGGCAGATGCAGGCTGATCTTATGAGTTTGGGGCCAGCCTTACTGATCTACATAGCTAGTTCCAGGCCACCTGGCCACAGCAAGACCCTATCTCAAAACAAACAAAAAAACCCCAAACAATACATTTTGATCATATCCATCCATGCTACCTCCCTTCAACTACTCTAGGGCCCTCCACCCCATCTCCTCCTTCAAAACTTCCTGTTCTCTTTTTTTAGTTGTCACTGCTATACATATGCATGAGTGTGGGGCCATCCACTGGAGCATGGGCAACCTACCAGTAGCCAAGTCCCTAAAGGAGACTGACCCTCCCTAAGCAGCCATCAACTGCTAATAGCTCCTCTGATAGGGATGGGGTCTCAGGGCCCCTCCCCAATCCATGCTGGAATTTTGGTTGGCTTGATCTTGTGCAGGCAACCACAACTGCTGAGTTGATGTAACACTCATGTCATGTCATGTCCAGATACCTTGCTTTCTGGCATTCCATTACACATGGAAGTCTGTAGCATAGTTTGTCTTACAACCTTTAAAATTCATAATTCAGACAAGATTCTCTGGAAAGAATACTTGCCTGGGGATGGCATCTCCAGGAACAAGCTAATGTCAATGCTGGCCTCCAGTCTCTAAGACCAATGAATGCTGGTTCAAAGAAGCTCATGTCAATTTTCTGTATTTACCAGTTCAGAAGGTCCCTTGCTTAACTTCCACAAATAAACCCTTAGATTCCTATGGCATGTGTGTTCTTACTTCAGTGCTGTACCCTTTCCATATACACACCAAAATTGTTAAATAATTCTCATTATTATTGAACAATAATTCTAATCACTTTGAACTCCTAAGCAATCCTATAATCTTGCAAGAACTAGATGTTTGGAACTCAAATTTGGGTAAACCACAATTTTAGGCTTACTTAGACTTAAAAGTCTTTGAAATTTTGCAGGTAGATTTTTGCATTTTGTGGCCTTTAGTACTTTGACTTGGCTATCTATGAGAATAAATACTCAAGGAAGGACAGAACTGATGCATATTTCTGTCAAAGGGATATTTTTGTGATCAAGGGCTTAATATGAAGGTGTGCCAGTAGTTATACCCAGTTGATTTAATATAATATGAAAAGTCCATTTAATTCATAAGTGCAGATTCAGTCCAAGCAGGAAGTCTTTGTAGAACAGATAAGATCAGTTCTCTCTTTCCACCATGTGGGTCTGCAGGGTGAAATTCAGGTCATAAGGCTTGGCAGCAGGCACCTTAACTATCTCATACCCTATCCTGGTTTCTACAGGAAACTGCATACATGTGGCACCCACATATATACACATAAACCTTTTTAAAAAATAGTAGCATTTATATGAGGGCAGGTATTGGCAGAGGAAGAGGTAAAGTAAGTCCTACTGCTCTATTACATTATACGGTGACTTGGGCCAATTACAAAATGATAAAAAAATGGATTTTGAATACACTCGGCATAATTTTGTGATAAATGTAACTGTAGGTCTAATTACACAATGTGTACACTCACTGAAACTCCAAACCATGCCCCATATATAACATAATGGGTTTGTTATATTTAACATATAGAACACCTGCACTTCCAAAGCACATTTATCCCTGAATGAGAGAAATTCAAAACTGTATCAGAACTGAAGAGGGGGGAGGAATAAGTACAAACTAGAAAGTACATGTCAGGCATGTGAAGCTGATAAAGGAAGAGCCAATTAGGAAGCGGAAATAAGCAGGAATGGACAGTAAATCCTCCAAAACTCAAATTATCCTCTCTGTAGATTTAGAGCAGGGTTCTTACACTAAGGTTAATATATCTGTACTTTCAAGTTTTCCTCAACTCTTACTTTAAAAACATAATTGGGGCCGGGTGTGGTGGTGCATGCCTTTAACCCCAGCAGTCAGGAGGCAGAAGCAGGTGGATCTCTGTGAGATTAAAGCCAGCCCAGCCTACATAGCAAGTTCCAGGCCAGCAGGGGCTACAGGGAGACCGAATCTCAATGATTGTGTTTTGTTTCACTTGTGTTCTTAGGAAGGGTCTTGCATTGTATAGCCTAGGCTGTCCTTGAGCTTGTTTCATGGTCTAGGCTGGCTGCAGATACACTATTTTCTCTCATTCTACCAAATCCTGGAATTACCAAGATACCACATCCGACAGCAAGCTGTGTCCTAGAACTACCTTCTGCTAGCCTGGAACATCTGTTACATACCAGCGCTGCTCTAGGTGCTTGTGTGCTTCACACAAATGTCAGAAGACCACAATTTATGAAGCTTCTTCAGGTTCCACCAGAACAAACTGTGGTTGCAGAATTTATTAAATTTTATGCCATTTATCAAACTAAAAGGAACAAGGAAAAAACTGACTTAACTGTGTCCTAGTCATAAAAACTTAATATACTAATTTAAAGTGTATTGTTATATAGTCACTGTAGTATTACATTTTCACATTAATTTACGAATAATATGAAATGTAATCAAAACACTTTTCTAAAGATTTTTATTTCTTTATTTATTTATTTATGTGTGTGCGTGTGTGTGTGTGTGTGTGTGTGTGTGTGTGTGTGTGTGTGTTTATGCTGTGTGCAGGAACTTGGAGAGACTGGAAGAGGGCATCAGATCCCCTGGAGCTGGATCAATGGACGGCTGTAAGCTGCCTGACACAGGTGCTGGGAATCAAACTCAGGCCCTCTGGAAGAGCAGCAAGCACTCCCAACTACTGAGCCAACTCTCCAACCCTCAAACATTCTTTAAATCCCTTAAATGATCAAATAAAGTCACAAACTTTAATAAAGTCACACATACATTTAACATGACTAACAAATACAATTAAAATCAGTATGAAAATATTCTATCCAAGAGCCATGAAATTGGTTAAATGTTTAGACAAAGAAAACAATTTTGAAAAAAGAGACTTTATTCCCTGAACACGAGGTTTCTACCTTGCTATAAATTATCAACTCCCTTTAAATTATTTTCAGTTTCCATAATTTCCTTTTATTCATTATTAATTATTATTATTATTTTGTCTTTCTGAGACAGGGTCTCTCTGTAGCCCCAGCTGGCCTGGAACTCGCTATATAGACCAGGCTGGCCCCAAACTCACAAAGATCCACCTGCCCCTGCTGGGATTAAAGGTGTGCACCACCACACCTGGTTTTATTCTTAACTATTATACATGAACATACAGTACTTCTATAGTTGTCCTACCTTAAGGCTTATCAGGATTGTGATTCAGTCTTCTAGCAAAGATCAAGTGTAGTATCTGTTCTTATCAGTTTAACATCTGACACATCCTCTATCAGAGAACATATAGTAACTGGAATTTTGGAGCTAGGAGATGGAATAGAAGCTTGTTCCGTCCACTCCTGGTGAACAACCACCTGGTACTGCAGTACCTCCAGGAAAGGGGGACCCCTTGGGGGATCTTTAGCTGTTAAAGAACAGACTATGTGGGGCTGAAGAGATGGCTCAGCAGTTAAGAGCCCTGATTGCTCTTGAAGAGGACTCCAGTTCCAGGGGATGCAACACCCTCTTCTGACCTCTGAGGGCACTGCATGATACAGGAGCACCTACCTCCCATGCAGACAATACATTTTTACACATTAAAAAAAAGTTTATCATTAGGTTCTAACAATTATATATCTTAGCCAATATAAATGAATACCAAATTTTCTGTGTGCTTTGTATGACTAAATGGGTGACGTGGGGGGAAAGTATATGATAAACTTTTATAAACAGTGATTCAAGACTCAGAAAGCTAGGTCACATTCTTATACTTGCAAAGCTCTCATAATTTCTGGATAAGTATAAAAAGGGTGGGTTAAAATATCAGATACTAGAATATCTTCAAATCCACAAATCTATTTGAAGGATAAGGACTCTGGAAACAAAGGCTACCAGTCATTCACTATTCCTCAATAGTATATTACTAAGATCTGTTACTTGCATGCTTGAGTAAGGTGGTTTAATCTCTGTGACAGAAAAACATGTCATTCAATATATACCAGTGATAACAAATTCAGAACCATTCACTTTTAATTATTAAAACAAAGTTCACATGCAATCACCATAGTATTTCAAAATCCATTACAGGGACTGGAGAAATGGTTCAGCTGTTAAAAGTACTGGTTACTCTTGCAAAGGATCCAGGTTTGGTTCCCAGCTACCAACCATTCATAACTCCTGTTTCAGGAGATCTGACACCCTCTTCTGGCCTCCACAGGTACTGCATACATGTGGTGCTCTTACATATTTGCAGGCAAAACACTCTTATACATAAATAAAAATAAATAAATCAAAATCCGTTTTATACTCTCTGGAGAAAATACTTTAAAATTTTTCAGAAAGCTGGCTTGCTCCTCTAATAAAATTACCTGAGAGTTGTGCTTTGTGCATTTTAAACAGTGAAACCATTTAGTACATTTGGATTTATAATAAATTTACATCCCTGATATCTGAGATGCATTTTTTTCTACCTCATCAAATAACAATGTCCAGTAAATTATGAGAAGTCCACAATTTTACCACATTCTTCATATTCATTGGGTCCCTCCCCTACAATAATTCCTTTATGTACATTAAGATTCAATGTATGACTAAAGGTTTTGCTACATTCTTCACATTTGTGAAGAGATTTCCAGTGTTAAGTATTGGGTTCTTCTGAGGGTTGTACAAAGGCTAGTGCTCTTTGCAATAGAAATCTGCTGATGTTCAATAAGGATGACCTTTGATCAAAGGCCAAACTATGTTATTACATCCATAGGTTACTCTCCACTATGGATTCTTTTAGTGTCTAGTAACTACTGAACATTTGCTAAAGATTTTGTCACTCTCCTTACATTTGTAGTGTTTCCCTCATGTATGAGTCCTTTGGTGCTAACTAGAGGTTCAGCAAATGTTAAATGTTTTACCACATTCTTTCAATGTACAAGATTTTCTCCTGTAGGAAACACATGATGACAAGAAAGGGTTTGAACTGCTATTGAAACACTGCCAAATTCTATACACCGCTGCATTTCACTAGAGTATGAGTGTCCTGGTGCCGCTTAAGGCTGGAGGAAGTGATAAAAGCTTTGCCACATTCTTTACATCTATAGGGTTTTTCTCCAGTATGAATTCTTTGATGTCGATTAAGCTGTGAAGAAAAGTAATAGGCTTTGCCACATTCTTCACATTTGTAGAGTTTGTCTCCAGTATGAATTTTCTGATGTTTAATAAGGTATGAAGACCAGTTAAAGGTTTTACCACATTCTTTACATATATACGGTTTTTCTACAATGTGAATTCTCCGGTGTTTATAAAGATATGAAGAACAACTAAAGGCTTTTCCACATTCTTTACATACAAAGGGCTTCTCTCCACTATGAATTCTCTGATGTCGATTAAGCTGTGAAGAAAAGTAATAGGCTTTGCCACACTCTTCACATTTGTAGAGTCTGTCTCCAATATGAATTCTCTGATGTTTAGAAAGGTATGAAGAACAATTAAAGGCTTTACCACATTGTTTACATGTATAGGGTTTCTCTCCAGTATGAGTTCTCTGATGCTTAGTAAGGTATGAAGTACAGTTAAAGGCTTTGCCACATTCTTTACATATATAGGGTTTCTCTCCACTATGAATCCTCTGATGTCGAACAAGCTGTGAAGAACATTTAAAGGGTTTACTGCATTCTTTACATCTATAAGGCATCTCTTCAAAATGAATTTTCATATGTTGGATCAAGTATGAAGAACAGTAAAATGCTTTGCCACATTCTTGACATCTATAGGCTTTCTCTCCTGTATGAATTATCTGGTGTCGAGTAAGGGTTGAACTATTATTGAAAGCTTTGCCACATTCTTTACATTTGTAGGGTTTTGCTCCAGTATGAAGTATTTGGTGTCGAGTAAGGTTTGACTGATATTTAAAGGCTTTACCACATTCTTTACATACGTAAGGTTCCTCTCCAGTATGAATTCTCTGATGCCTAATAAGCTGTGAAGAAAGCCTAAAGGGTTTGCCACATTCTTTACATCTATAGGGCATCTCTTCAAAATGAATTTTCATATGTTGGATCAAGAATGAAGAACAGTAAAAGGCCTTATCGCATTCTTGACATCTGTACGGTTTCTCTCCTGTGTGAATTATCTGGTGTCGAGTAAGGGTTGAACTATTATTGAAAGCTTTGCCACATTCTTGGCATTTGTAGGGTTTTGCTCCAGTATGAACTACTTGATGTCGAGTAAAGGTTGATTGGTATTTGAAAGCTTTGCCACATTCTTGACATCTATACGGTTTCTCTCCAGTATGAATTACTTGGTGCTGAGTAAGGGCTGAATGCTTACTAAAGGCTTTACCACATTCTTTACATTTATAAGGTTTCTCTCCTTTATGAATTATCTGATGTTGAGTAAGGGTGTGACTTCTCTTGAAAGCTTTGCCACATTCTTGACATTTGTAGGGTTTGGCTTCAGTATGAATTACTTCATGTTGAGTAAGAGTTGAATTATATTTAAAGGTTTTGCCACATTCTTTACATTTGTAGGGTTCCTCACCAGTATGAATTATCTGGTGTTGAGTAAGGATTGAACATGTACTAAAGGCTTTGCCACATTCTTTACATTTGTATGGTTTCTCTCTCTTATGAACTATCTGGTGTTGAATAAGGTTTTTACTTCTCTTGAAGGCTTTGCCACATTCTTTACATTTGTAGGGTTTTGCTGCAATATGAATTATATGGTGTTGATAAAGTGTTGAGCGATATTTAAATGCTTTACCACAGTCTTTACATTTGTAGGGCATTTCTCCTTTATGAACTCTCTGGTGTTGATTAGAGTCTGAGTCATCAATAAAAGCTTTATGTCTGTAAGGCTTCTCTTGATTCTTCACACATCGATGGATGGTTACATCTGGGTGTTGATCAAAGTCTTTCACAGACTTGTTATATTTACAGAGATTCTCTGGGGGAAAAAAAAGTAAAATAATATTTACTATAATTGGAAACGTGGTTAAAAAATGGAGAATCTCATTACATGGACAAATTTTTCTCCAATATACATATCCTAATAACTACTTAGGGCAGACCTCATTAATGACTTTCCTATTTTCACTATACGTGTATAAGATTTTCTAATATGAATATCTGGATCTGAATTTTGGTGAAGAAAAAATTGGCTGAGTGTTGCTGCTCACATCTGTAATTCAAGCATTTGGGAGGGTGACCAGAAAGATCACAGTAAGTTCAAGCCAAGCCTGGACTACATACAAGTGCCAGGAAAGCCTGAACTATAGGTGAGACATTGTCTCAAAAATCAGAAAAAAAACAAAGAAAAAAAATCCTGCGTTTATGAAAATTGTGTGTTTTGGTTCAGAGAAAACTAATTTGCTGATGTCAAAATAAGGGTCTTTCAAAAAAGAAACTATAAGGTAATCACATTTAGAAATGTGTTCTTCATTCTTAAATCTCTTTTCTAAAGAAATATTTGATGCAAAGTTCAGTCCAATGCTACATTTTGAATTTTTTAAGTTCTTATTTAAAGCATGGAATAGGCCCATCTTAAAAATCAAAAAAAATTTATTTGAGAAAGAAAGTTATACTTCAAGCTTGATATGTATATTTAATCATATAAATATAGTTTATTAATAATAACTGTCACAAACTGAGGTATTTTCTGGGATGCTGTATACTCTTGATCTTAGTTGGCAATGAAGTTTCTGTCATGCACAATTCTCATACTCTGATTATACAATGCTTTCTGACTTTCACACTCATGCACTTTCCCATATTTACTTAATGTGAATTGTCAAGGTCAAAATTTCTATATCTTCCCCTTATCACATTTTGGAATAAATGTTTTTGCCCTGCTCTCATATAAAACCTTGGATGTACTTAGAATACCTGTAAAAAAATCAAAATATAAATTACTTCTTACACAATCCATACAAACCTGGATACTGCATCAGGGCGGTGGGGCAATAAACAAGCCCCTCCATTTTCCCACAAGTTTATAAAACTAACAAAAAGATAACAATCAATTACCTCTCTGACAATTCCCAAAACTAGTTAACACATCAATGTACCCCAAGTGAACACAATTAGATATCCACATATTAGATGGAAGAAAAGTTTGTTACTTTTGTCAATCACAGATCCACTTCTCCAAAAAGTATTCCACAATGAAAACACACACAACCTCCCAACATCATTCTGCTCTTTTGGGAGAGAAAAAGAAAAGAGAAGAAAGATGCTCACATTTGCAAAATTTCAGAGGCTGTCTGATTGCTGCTTTCACTATATATCTTGCCGCACCATATAGGAGAGTAACAGGTAAACTTTGGATGGCAGGTCAGAACAGGAAAGACCAAAGCTAAATAATTACAGTATCAAAGAGATGTCATTACCTCAGATAGTAAACCAGAGTAGAAGAACCACCACACCTAGCTACAATCTTCTTTTTTAAATTTTATTTATTATTTTTGTTTTATGTGTATGTGTGAATTGCCTGCATGTGTGTTAAGTGCACCTGTGTCATGCAATTCCTGCAGAGGTCAGAAGAGGGCATCAGGCCATCTAGATCTGGAGTAATGGTCAGCTGTTGGCCACCATGTGGATTCTGGGAACCAAACCTGGTACCTCTGCAAGAGCATCCATTGCTCTTAAATGATCAGCCATCTCTCCAGCCCTTAGCCCCTGTATATCTTTCTAAAAAAATTTTTTTTTAATTTTTGTGTATATGCATGTGTGTCTGTGAGAGGGTATGTGCCTGTGAGTGAAGTTGCCCATGGAGGCCAGAAGAGGGTGTCAGATACCTTTGTAGGGTTAGAATTAGCAGTTAAGAGCTGCTCAATGTGAGTACTGGGAACCAAATTCAGGTCTACTACAAGAGCAATACTCACTCTTAACAATTGAGACATCTCTCCAACTGGAGACTACAAAATCTTAAGAAGAAATACGGACAGACTTTTCTAAGAGGAAAAATAAGAATAAAAGTCTATAGAAAGCATAAAACAAAAACCTATTTGAAGGATTCTAATGAACTCTACACAATTAACTGGTATGTTACCTGGAAGCTCCCAATCCACAGAAACAGGAACAAATGAAAGGTATTATGATTACCATTGTTGAGTTTGCTATTTATATATTTAAACGTTATGTATTTACCATGTACGTCATGAGGTTTTGAGGTATGTATTTATGGTGGAATGACTGAAACTAGCTAATTAACCCTGAATCATTTCACAATATCATACTTGTGCTTGACACACTTTACATACACCCTAGACACTATCACAAGAATACAATATGTTGGGGCTGGAGAGATGGCTCAGCGGTTAAGAGCACTGATTGCTCTTGCAGAGGACCCAGGTTTGATTCTCAGCACCCACATGGCGGTTAGGAACTGTCCTTAACTCCAGTTCCAGGGGAATCCAAAGCCCTCTTCTGACCTCTGCATCATTGTGCGACATGGGTGCACTCACATACATGCAGGCAATATACTCATATACATAAAATAAAAATAAAAAAGAATACAATGTGTTAACTATGCTCACATTACATTGTATAAACTAGATTTGTTGAACTGTTATACCTAATTAAACAAAATCTTGCAGTCTGTGAGAAATATCACCCAAACTCTCTCCTAAAACTGGCACAGACCCTGGTAATAGCATTTTATTCTCTATATATTCACATACAAATGAGATCATGTAGTAATTGACTGTCTATATATGTCAGCCTTATTTCAGGTATCATGAAACCTTGCATGATTTCCTGAACTGTACCAAATGACAACATCTCTTTTTTAGATGGCCATATATCTCCCATATGTCCTTCTGTCTACTGCAGAACTTTTACTGAAGCCACATCATGACTTTTAAGAATGTAACTACACTAAGAATGGCAGTGGAGATGTCTCTTTGATTTAAACTGCTTTGCCTATGAATTCTTAGTGAGATAACTGAATCATATGGTAGAACTATTTTTTACTCATTTTATTTATTTACTTTACTGACTGTGGTTCTAAGAATCAAAAACAGGGCTGATGTAGATTAGGCAAGTGTTCACAAACAGCTGTATACTCTCAGTAAAGTCACTTTTTAAAAAAGTATTGCAGGGCATGGAAGTGTATACCTTTAATCCCAGCACTCAAGAGGCAAAGGTAGGTGGATCTTTATGAGTTCAAGGCCAACCTGGTCTATATAGCAAGTTCCAGGTCAGCCAGGAATACATAGTGAGACCCTGTTTCAAAAAAAATCTACTCTAACAAATCAAAAAGGCTAGCAAGATGGCTCAGAGGGTAAAAGCACTTGCCACCAAGACTAACAACCCAAGTTTAATCTCTGTAATCCATATGATGGAAGGAGAGAACCAACTTCCACAAGTTGTCCTCTGACTTTCACACATTCTGTACAACGCACACACATGCCTAAACACACACACACACACACACACGCACACAAATAAATGCAATTTTTAAAATAAATAAAAAATAAAATATTCAAAATGGAATTACAAAACAAGAAAGAAAGTTTTGATTCCATAAAATCTCAAATAGGGCTGCTAAGATGGCTCAGTGGATAAAGTGCATATTGTGTAAGCCTGTAAATATGAGTTCAATTTTTAGAACCTACATAAAGTAGGAGAAAATCAACTCCACAAATCTATCTTCTGAACTCCATATTCTTACCATCACACACACACACACACACACACACACACACGATAAATAAATATAAATAAACAATTTATATACTATTAACAATGCCTGTTAGATGCCAAGTGTGGTGATGCACACCTTTAATCCTAGCACTCAGGAGGCTGAGGCAGGCTGATCTCTGTGAGATCGAGGCTAGCTTGGTCTACATAGGGAGTTCCAGGCACATTGGACCTACAGGGAGACCCTGTATCTAGAAACCAAAAAATTAAAAAACTTGTTTTAATTTAAATGCCTGTTAGAGAAATACCACTTGCACCCTTAACTACATAACCATGAAAACTACACATTTTAAATTATTTTCAGAGTATGCCAGACAAAAAATTTACAAAACACATTAAAATCATATGTAAAGAGCACCAATGAGGCAACTGTAAAGAATATGGAAGTTGTTCTTTTTCATGCTATTATAGTATTACAGTGGCTTGACATAAAGGTTTTTTTGTTTTAAAACATTTTATTGTATGTGTATGCGCATATTGCCTGCATGTAAGTGCACCTGTGTCATGCAATGCCCACAGAGGATAGAAGAGACTGTTGGACCCCTTGGAACTGGAGTTACAGACAGTTGTTAGCTGCCATGTGGGTGCTGGGATTCGAACCCAAGTCTTCTGCAAGAACAGTCAGTGTTCTTAACCACTGAACCATCTTTCCAGTCCCTAACATAAAAGCTTTTAGAACTGTGGACAAATTTTCTGAGGTCCGCAGAGTAACAACAATCATTGGATTGGGGCCAGTAAAGGTAATTGCTATCTGAGTTTGACCCCAGGACCCAAACTGTGGAGAGAACAAATTTCCACAAGCTGTCCTCTGACTTTCACACCTGGACCTGGACACACACACACACACACACACACACACACACACACACACACTAAATGTTAATAAGCTTTAATCGGTGGATTATACAGATCTTCACAGAAAGGACTGTGCTGTCATTGTCAATCAGCTATGAGATCACTGGAGGGGAAGGAGGCATAGACAATTTGAAGCATGATAAACACATCGCAGAAGATGTCTTTCTCTGACAGCAAGAGAAGCAAATACAGGTTCCTGCAAAAAAAGTCATCTCCACTACAACAGCTTCCCAATCCACATCTTACAGCCTGGCT